TTGCTTATAGGCTGGAATATTGCCATCTGTAGAGCAGAAAATTGAGTTTTCCCCAAGGCCCACTGTCAAAACCCTCTAGCTGTAGTCTTGTAGTCTTTTAGTCTGTAGCTTGCCTGAGGCACAGGTGGGTGTATAAACCCCAGATGATGTTATTCAGGTCTGCCACTCAAAACATGACAGCAGTACCATGATGCATTTGACAATCATGAAGGCCAAGACAAACTTTGAATATTTGTGTGCACATATATTGCTGTTAAAGAAAAGGTCATTTAATGTTCTGTATTGTAAGAAAAAAAAGCTCAGATAAAGTAATTGGAATCAGAATCAATCAGAGAAATATACACCACTTTAAAGTGAATAAAACAGTAATATTCTGAATGTTAATTAAGATGTTCATGCACATGATGAGTCACTTTTCAATTCTAATCAAGACAAATGAAATGAAACATACTAAATTCAGTTACACAGGCTGGGAAGGTTGTTGGTGTGGAGGTCTATTTAATTTTAAATGTACCCGACACATATTACATTTTCCAATACACTGAGCAGACGTAATCATGGAAAACAAAATCTCATTAAATGTATGCCTTTGGTTCTGTTATGAATAAAAACAAAACCATCACCAGCATAAAAACATGTTTTATCCTTTTGTTATATTTATATACAGACCCTGTTGTAAGTGTGACCATGTTTGTTTCTGGTGTTCCATCCAGGATGTATCCTGCCTGATGCCCATTGCTTGCTGGGATGGGAGATGGATACCCCAAGATCCTGTATTGGATAAAGTGTTTAGAAAGTGAATGGAAGTTTTATATATATATACAAAAATAATTTTTATTATTGCTAATTACAATATGTATGCTTTTTATCAAGGGACTAAAATGAAGGACTCTGTTGTGACACAGAGAATATTTCTAGCACGTCTGTGTCCCTGTATAATTTTGTCCACCAGAGTGTGTCACAGTCCTGTGTAATCTGCTCTTTGCAGTAGTCACACTGAACAGGCCTGCAAGACAAGGAGTCACTCTGGCCCCTTGTGACACTGGTCACAGGGAGAACTCTGGGCGTTCAGGACTGAAAGAGCCTCAGTTTAAGATAAAAAGAAATCACTTGTTTTACTTATCACAGTCAAATTTGTTAAAGGACTGTAGATTTTGATTTGATTTGATGGCTAGCCATAAAACCTGTGGAATTAGGGCTCTAGGAAACCAGGTTGGTGCAGTACAGCATGATCAATAGACCTATAATATAAAACTATGTAAAAAAAACAGAGCCTCTTCCTGATTGATGGTAGCGGGTAGGAATGGATGTTACCTGTTTTTATCATTATCAACAAGGGCATTATTAGTAACAGTAATAACAGCGATGCACCTGCTGGGAATATAAGGGCTATCTAAGTTTTAACCCATTTTGTAAATATTTTAAACAGTTTAAATTAAATCCTATGTAAAAAAATGTGATCTTTTGGAACTGCATTATTCTGACTTAAATCTTATCATTAAAGTTTTCTATGCAAGTTGTTAATTTTTTGGCAAATACTTATATAGGTTTATACAGTATAAACTTATCAGAAACATACACACTATAGCTCTCTCTCAGTTCAGTCACAAAGTCAGAAGTAGAAATGTGAGTTCCTTCAAAGAGACATTCTTTTAGGATAGCTCTCCAATTGGAGACATGTCTGAGTGCTTTAACAGTTGACAAAATAAAGAGTAAATTTTCAGTATGGACTGTCAAATATTGTTTTCAAACTGTAGTACTGTTCAATAAAATTAACAGTAATTGTTATATGTTGGGGTGGCACAGCGGCGCCCTGATTAGCAGTACTGTCTTGCAGCACTGTAGCCCTGGGTTTGGTTCTGGACCAGGGGGGCTATCTGTGTGAAGTTTGCATGGTCTCCTCACGTTCACATGGGTTTCCTTTGGGTTCTCCGGTTTCCTCCCAATCCAAAGACATACTGGTAAGTCTATTGGCTTCTGGGAAAATTGGTCCTGGTGTGAATATGTGCGTTTGTCAGTGTATGCCCTGCAATGGACTGGTGTCCCATCAAGGGTGTACCCTGCCTTGTGCCTGTTGCTTGCTTGGATAGTTGCCAGCTCCCTCATGACTCTAAATTGGGTGAAGCAGTTTGAAAATGGAGGGATGAGAATGTCATATTTCTCCTTAAAAGAATACTTCTTCCTTCATATTTGATGTTTTTCAAGTCAGTCAAATGTGAACGGAGAAAAGAATCTGGGAAAATACAGATTATTATAAATCCATTTTGATTCTAAAAAAAAATCCAAGAGTTCTTACACATTAAGCGCAGACATTTCAGGTTTCAGAATAAGAACTACCCTTAAGTGTTGTAAATGAGAAAATGTCAGTCAGGCACTTGAAAGCAGAATATATTTTTTAGTTTGACTGTGCATATAATATAGTGACTCATGTCACCCCTAACCCTTCAAGGCAGTTTCAAGACCAGGAAGCATTCCCAACGTTAGTTGAATAGTTGTTCCCAATTATTGCTCAGACTAGTTTTTACATCAGTATTTTAGGACTCACATTTCAATGTCAAAATCTATGATAAGGATAAACTCTTCTCAGCCCCAAAGTTTTTCTGCTAAACACGGCCCACACAAGCTAATTTGTTAATCCATTTCTGCAGAATCTTTCAAAAAGTTTTCCCAATTTATTACTCAAAGAAACTGACTGACCTTGAGGATCATTTTCTAGTCATATATTGCGTAATATACTGAAGAAATTAAGCACAGAACTCACTTCCTAAAGTTCCGTCTTATTACCAAGACAAGTGTAAGAAACATGTATGAGTAAAACTACCACTGTTCCAGGGATCGATAGGTTATTCTGAGAACTGCCTTTTTACATGTTGTAAAAGAGTAAAATATTTAACAGACTTTAGTTAAAAATGCCAGAATGTCATTTCTGTACCTATGCAAAATGACCTCCAAAAGTGAGAACAAAAATAAGACATCAATGTTTATTGCAAACCAAAGTCACAAATACATTTTAAAAAAATAAAATTACAGTACATTTAATATGAACAGTTATTCATATGTAAGCATACATTTTCATTTTAAATACATTAAAACTTGTACAGTGACTGAAATGTACAAATGAATTTAAATACAACAATGTTAATGGAATGCCAGGGCTAGACAACTTTAGTGCCCACCTTTACAACACGTCCAAAAGGAAATGGAAGACTGGATGAGATTGACTCTACGGACAGGGCATTTGTTAGATTTTTTTTTGGTCCAGGTACATATTCACATCATAGCAGCAATGCTTTAGTTTAAGCAATTGTAGATTTGCAATTCTTAAAAAAAGGATAATAAAAACCAATGCCCGAACGAATACAATTCAGGACTGTACAGCAAATTTGCCATCTCCCACATGTGGAAGACGCAGGCAATGCCCGCCATTGTAGTGTGTCAAACACCATCCGATGCCAAGGCCAGAAAACTCATGGCCAACTAAAACCTCCCTCATACTTCTGTTCACACTGTAACCCAAGAGCTCCAGATAAGACCTTATCAAGAGGGAAAAGGCACCTAGCAAAACATTCAAGGTCCTCCAACAAAAAAAATGTCTTGGAACATTTGATATTGCTGCAGTTCCTCCGCGAAGAAAAAAAATCGCCCAAAAGACAGCACCAGATCTCAGGAAATGAGAAGAACATATCTGAAAACTTCCCACTCAGCTTGGACCACTTGTACAAGTTACAGGCCACAAAGCTGCCTTGATCGATGTGCAAATATTTCACCCTGCTGCAGGGTCCGTTGTAAGATCCGTCAGTCTATGGCAAGTCCTTACAAGTAAGAGTCCATAGATGGAGCATAAGAAAATCCCAGAAAAGCTTCAGCAGCCTCCTTGATGCTTGCTGTAATCAGAGCACTGTCTGGAGAGCACCCGATGGAACTTGGGACCGGCTCGTCTGTAAACTCGGGATCAAAGTGCCGTAGATCATTTGGGCCAGTCTGTAATAACAGAAATTAAAAGTACTTAACTTTCAAGTCAATCCAGATAACAGATCAAAGGAATGCTACTGCATATACTACCAGGAATTCCCCGTTTTCTAAAATGTGTACAAACTTAATGCCTTTTCTTATTAATTCTAACCAAATTGAATCAAGTGGCAAAGATGGTCTTGCATTAAGAAATCTTAATTGTACTGCTCAACTAGGGCCATTTCCTTTCTCTTATTAAAGATTAACTTAATGGGTTAATATTTATTGGATTTAACTGTTCAGTGGCTTCAAACAATAGCTAGATACAAATCTGTCACAGATTCACACTGCTGAGAGAATAACAGCACTACCAGGCGGATGAGGCTAATCGAAGCTCCACCACACAACCCAAGCGGAAATAGTCAAGGTGCTGCTGCCAAGGTAGTGATGAGGGGGAGGAAGAGGTGCAAAAGTGCAGAATGTTGGGACACCCATAACCACACTCCACCCCAATAATTGTTTGCCTTCTCTCCAACTTTCATGTAGAACCTTGAACATGGCAAACCAAACCTAGCTTTATGAATCAAACTTACCACGTTTGGGTTAAAAGGAGGGGTGAGTCTTTTTGCATTCAGGTCATCCCAGTTGATAGGAGAGAAGAATACATGGTTCTTGATTTCGATCTAAAACATAAGAAAGGAAGAGGGCACATTTATTACAAATGCCATGATAAACAATAGCCCTGAATGACAGAGACCATTTAGATTAGTCTGCAAACTGCACTTATTGTAAGCCTAGAACACAGACCAGCAGCAATACTGCTAATGTTTTTGTATCCAGAGGTTCTTTTTACTGATCTTTGCACAAAATTTGTTGCAAATTCAGCCAGGTAATTACTTTGCACATAATCCTTTTATCAGTAGCATGAATTAGTTAAATATGTCCTGACAATGTAATCTTTCTACACATTGTAGGACACCCTGCTGCAGGGTCCTGCATAAAGATGTTTGAATGACACAGCAATGGTGGTCATGGTGTTACTTACAAAGTCATCTTTGCAGCCCAGTCTCTTGGTTCGGTCCTTCTGCAGCAGGCCCTCCAAGAGGTGCCTTGCAGAGTTTGAGATGTTGGGTTTCAACTGCAGAGGCTTGTTCAAGATATTGTCATACATTTCTGCAGTGTTCCGGCTGTAGAAAGGTGGCTGCAAATCAAAACAAAACAGACCCTTTACACTTTCAGTCTATAGTGCATGCAGAGATAAGTAAAATATAAAACACTAATCAAATTAATGACTTTGCTGTAAATTTAAACTCCATGCCATTATGAGTTTCTTAAAGGATGTTTAGAAATTTGCATACAAGTACACTATTCAATTTTTTTCCCCCAATTTACAGATAGTGTAGGAACAAGAAGATCAATCACAATCAATTACACTGTTTTACGTACCAGTCCATACAGCATCTCATACAGCACAGCTCCTAAGCACCACCAGTCAACTGTTCTGTCATATGGTTGTTTGTGCAAAACTTCAGGAGCCAAGTACTGCAAAAGAACACATGGATTTGTAAGTTTTGGTTTGAAGACCACCAGACGTATACAGGAGTCTCTCCTCTCGAATTCTGTGAAACTTAAATGTGTGTTTTAATCTTGCAGCAATCCCTGCGTTTAACTGCAGAAAAAAGCTTGCATACCTCTGGTGTGCCACAGAAGGTGGAAGTGGTGCCATTGGGCTCAATGTTCTCTTTGCACAGTCCAAAATCAGTCAACACAATGTGTCCCTGAGAATCCAGCAAGATGTTTTCTGGCTTCAGATCTCTACAAAAGGGGTGAAAGACTCATGAGAAATAGAAACTACAAATGCAAAAAACATCCATCATCTCCTGCTGCTTCTCAGTTGACAAGTAACAGAACAAAATTACATACGTTGGAATAAATAATGTCTAAATCTTTTAAAGGACCAAGTTAAAAACCACATGTCTTCTCAGAAACTGAAAAGATAAAAATTTGTATAGCAGAAGTCTGCATCTAAAAGTTGAGACCATGCCGGCTAACTATAAATGCAGAAGCCCTAACTGCTACCCCACACTTCCAGTTGTAGATGCGTTTTGGCTATGTATAGTTCTCGCCATTTTTAATTCTTTGGGGCAGATGCTACTTCCAAGTGAAGTGAAGAAAGCCTCCTTTGACCTGCTGTGCAGTTTATTTTATTTTTTGGGGGGTGTTGCAAACTCACCTATAAACAATGTTCAAAGAATGCAGGTATCCCAGTGCACTTGCAATCTCTGCAGCATAAAACCGTGCTCTGGGCTCAAGGAAGCAGCGTTCTCTTTGGAGGTGATAAAACAGCTGTGAAAAAAGAGTTTTTTTAAGATTCTGTGCCAAGTCCTGGATACCAATATAAATAAGGAGCAACATCAAGTCTAAACTGCTGAAACAATTGCAGGAAATAACCCACTGCTCCACTATTTTTTTTCCTTCCCCAATTTTGGCAGGCAAGAGAAGGGTCCGCATTCTAGTCTGTCTCCCTCTTTCATCCAATATCCTGAAGTTTCTTTTTTAAGAACAAAAAAAAAGTACAGCTGCCGCACTACAGTTGGACATGAAAGGATTTCCCGTCCTGTGACCTGTTATGTCTTACCTCTCCTCCGTTAATATAGTCCAAGACAAAGTAAAGCTTGTCAGCCGTCTGGAAGGAATAGTGGAGCCCAACCAGGAAAGGGTGTTTCACATTCTTTAAAAGGACATTCCGCTCTGACATTATGTGTTTCTCCTGCAAGAAACAGAAGCAAGCAGTTATGTAGGGATCTGCAAAAAAAATACAACTTCACAAACACCTTTCAAAGCATCCAGGTGCATTTTCTGCAATTTACCTCCTTCTTCTTCAAGATCGCCTTCTTCTGCAAAACCTTCACTGCATAGAACTGGTCGTCGCTGTGGTGCCTTGCTAAGAGGACCTTGCCAAAGCTGCCCTTTCCAATGACCTTTAAGAAGTTGAAGTCGGAGGGTTTGGCGTGAGGGTTAGAAGATGGCCCAAGGTTAATTTGCTGGGATGGGCTGGGCTGCAAATCAGAAAGCAAGACAATGAGTGAAACATGCAATTATCACTAAAATACATTCAGAGGCTCAGTTCCAAAAGAAAATGACTTACAGGAGGGGAAGGGTTGGTGTTCATGAGTTCAGGTTCTTGAGGTTGGTTCAGATTAAGGATTGACTGGACCTCGGGGCTACAAGAAAAAAACAACAACAAATAAGTTAGCTTCTCCCCTTCAGACCAAAGCCGATAAAACTAGGCAATGCACACAGCTCCTAAACATAAAGAGATCCCAATACCTTAAAAATACAGAAAATTATAACTACTGGAAAGTTCACAATACTATCACTCCAGTCTTTAAATGTGTATACAGAAACACGCGGAGACAAACCAGTACATCCTGTAATTCTCTCATTTCAAACTTCAGTTCACACCTAGACCACCTGTAGCGTCCTGCATGTTCCCCCACTTTGCAGTATCGCACTGTTAAAAAGTGCTTTAAGTAGCTAAAATCTTCCAGCAACCGTCAAACCATCAGCGGCTTGCTGCGCTAAAAGAGCAACGGATCATTTTATCTTAAGCACTTGTGCTGAACAAGAAAAAAAACTCACTGCTTGCAGGCGTAGGAGTTAGTAGCGAGCTTCTGAATGAAGTCATTGAGTCCCATTCTCCTCTGTTTCATAAATGCTGTAAAAAAAGAAACATAAACGCATATCAGATAAACTTTCTTTGCACACCTTATTGAACTTTTACATTATAATTCATTTCCCATGTCAAAACACTTACCAATAAGTATTGCAACCACACCTCTCATTTTAGGGTATGTTAAAGCAGCTGATTCGGTTTTGATTGTCATTGCTGTGCTTTTAGCGGCTGAATTTGTATTCCAAAGAACCTGACCCTTGTTCCCACCACACAGTAAAGTGCTCTAACTAACCGAGACTTTTTTTCCGCACGGTATTTATACTTGGAGGGGAAGTAGGTGGGTGCGAACTGAGAAGTAACATGATTTTGCAGCTACGAATTTCCTGGGGCGTGTCGGAACGGTCAGACACTCGGTGCCTTGAGTAGATCAATCATTAAAAACTCCACCCGGAGCCGTCTGGCGTCACAGAAGAAACGCAACACACATTCAAAAAATTAGGACTTCTTGTAAAGTACAGCAGTGGTACATTATGTGCAATGTCCGGATTAATGTTGCGAAACGTAAAACACAACTCATTGAATCTTTACGTCTCTGGATATGTTTTCAAACAGTCTAAAAATCGGCACCAGAAGAATCTCAAACTTGTTTTCTCTGCATACAATTTCGCTTTTATTTTTAAAGTGCCCTAAACACAATACACGAAGTGCAGTTTATTGTTTTTTTACGTCGCAAACTGTTATTCTAGTTTTATTTTGTAGATAAACTTAGTTTTCATATGTCCCGTGGTTTCAAGATCTACATGATGTTGAGTAATCTCGACAAACTGGACAATCGTTTTAAAAGTAGAATGTAAAACTCTCCAGATTATTGAACAGCAAATCTCCGATAATTTTGGCAAACCCTTAGAAAAATGTTACAGAAAACGGTTTTATGAATTACATATCAATTTGTCCTGAGAAATTTAATCTCAATCTGTTAGAGATTACTGAGCCTACAATGTATAAAGGAAGCCTTCTGTAAATGAAAAAGGAGAAAACTATGGTGGACTGGTGTTCATACACCCTGGATTTTAATTTCAACAAACGTTTTTGACTAAATTTCAATTCAGTTTCGGAAAACTGCTGTGAAGTACTTGACACGAGCCGACGAGATGAATCATAAATTGTTTTCTGCCTGCAGCAACCCTGAGTAACATCTTTAAACATGCATCCCCCAACCTCCTCCAACAGCGACTCAAATCCAACAGTATTTATTAACAAGAAAGAGAATGAATTTTCTGCATTAAAATGTAAATGTCCTTTACTCACACCTGTACGAAAATAGATTGATATTCCACAGATAATACAAAGTGTTTATTTTGCTTTTCAGGTTGTTTTGAGATTGAGGTCACTTTGCCGGAAAAACAAAGCTACACAGTACTGTGGCTACACTATTACCACCTCCCTCCATTCAGGCGATTCGCATTTTCGCAACGACGAAAATTCCTCTGACTGCAGTTAACAAAATAACCGCTAAGTGGGACTCCATGACAAAATTGCATTTACATGACCTGGTTTTAAAATGCATCGGAAATGCTTAACCGTAAATTTTTTAAATTCCGACATATTTTTCTATGATCAAAAAATAGTTGTTACTAATTCATCTATACCGTTTTCCGTAGCAGATTTCAGTAGCTAATTTAATGGTGACAGGTTATCCTGCCATCGCCATAAAACATAAATATATTGATGATTTTCTGCAAAAAATATTCGCGTAAATCCATGCAAAACGGTAAATAACTGTGCAGATCTCTACAACTGACTATTTCACTTGAAACAATACCGAATGAAGTTCTCCACATGGTAGCTATTATTATATAAAGTGAGTTTCATAAATTACACTAGACAATATCGAATGAGCTGTAAAATACAATTCCTGCTTTGGCCGCACTTTTATGAGCCATTTACGGTTTTAAAAAAAGACTATTACGAAAGTTCATACATTTCGGATACAAAATATCATACTAATGGTATCTACCACAGTTTAGCAAATAGACATTTAGCTGAGCTGTTTCTAATGTAACCGTTAAATTCCTACAAAGAAAATATGAAAATAAAGCACTACAGGTATAGTTTCGCTCTTCTTTCGGTAACGGAAAAATATGCAAAATGTACAAAACTGGAGAGTGTAAAAGGACACACTTCAGTACTTCGCCCGCAGATAAGACGTGGCACCGATTGTTCTATATTCTTCGTTTCGACACTTCGGAAATACCATGAAGAACTTTTACTTCCTTTCAAATTTAGTTTAACTTTGTGCAGCAAAGTTAAGGAAAACAACTGAAAAAGATGGTGACGTTGAGAATTAAAAACGATCGCAAATTCAGACTGTTCAATTATATTTTTAAATAATTATATCTAAAGGCAAACCAATAAATAAACCAACCCTTTAGCTCTGCAGTAGTCCTCATTCTCGTTTATATTTCCACACTAAGGCAATACCCTTCTCCCAGCTCCTTCGATATCAGATCAGTTAACAAAGGAACACTTGCCTCAACCAGAACAGCTAAATATATCAGCCCAGACCCATAATCAACCCATATTTGCATAGATAAGAATACAGTGTTAAAATCGGGTCAATGCTAAATTACATGACTGCAGTGGATTCTGAGCCAAGACGCTGTTGCAGTTTGACCTTAAACTTACGGCAAAGCTAAATGATCTTGAGAAAGTCAATCAAATAATACATCGCTCTCATTTTTCAGAACTTAAGACAAAACAGAGTTGTAACTCACATATTAATGACAGTGGAGAGGATTTCTTAAACTTGACCCGAAGCAGGCGGACGGAGTCAGTGCTTGACAGGAACCTTTTTTTTAAGGGAATTTATGTTAAGAGTAGCATTCCTTTGCTCACTGTACCGGATACCTTAAGGCGAAGAGGCCCTGCCCAATCTTCGTTTTCTAGCTTCTGGAAAATTTTCTTTCTGTGAGCGACTCGAGCAGTTAGTGACAAAACAGAACTAGAAATATGGTCCGGGCATTAAGTCTCCCTCATACTACCCCCACCGCCCAACCCGGACCCCTGATGATAGATTAAATTAAAACATGTAATTCTAAGAGTCTTAGCCTTAAACTATTATTCTCAAATCAAATTAAAGCAATTAAAAGCAAAAATAAATCAGACATTGTTTATATTACAGGTGAAATGTATAAAAAACGTCTCAAGCAAAATATACTACTTATTCTGAAAATGAGACATATGAATATACATATTAGATTTATCTAGTTTTTGCCATAATATAGAATTACATTTAATTTATACTCATTTTGTAGTGGTTATTTGCATTTAAGGAGATATTTTTAAGTTTGTTTGTACTAGTCAGACATTTAAAGGGGAGATTGTAAGGCTTAAATGCAATTACTGCTTCTACCTTCCAACAGTGGAGTTAGAAAATGCACAAGATCTAAGTAGTTTTATTTGAAGTGTTTTACCTAGAAGCAAGAGAACTCTGACTTTTTATAGATTTTATGAGCCTTTTACCTTGAAATGTACAGCCTCAGGTAGATCTGGAAAATTTCTCTGAATACAGATAGCTGTTGTAGATTGTCGCTCTTTCATCTTGCAGGAGGAAGAAGTGGAAAATAGTTTGCATGGACTGTTCTTGGAGTTGATTATTAAGTCTCATTAAGATCAATAAACTCTGGTGTAAGCTATTAAGCATATGACCCTGGTGTTTATACTGAAGGACATTCTTGAGTATTAAGTCCAAGTCATAACCTTGCACATTACATTATAGGCAACAGAGGTCAAGATTTCAATTAATGTTCTGTAATGTCATAATATGACAGAAAAAAACTGTACCACAGAAATTGCTTTCTAGTTTGAAGTTCTCCCGCTGTGATTATTTTCACAGCTTTAATAGTTTTAGCTGTTGGGTATCAGCCCTCAAATGAGAGAAAACATGGACACACTATGTCAAAATTAAATGTAGTTAAGTTTTGTGTGTCCCCCGATGGCTAGATTCACTAGCACACACAACACCTTCCATCTCTAACACTTACATATTCTCTTGTGGACTGTGATAATAGCTGTAACTCCATGATGGCCAGAGGAATTTTTACTCTCAACTGTTTTATTAAAACCATATGCTTCTTTTAAGAAGTCCTAGACTGATTCTATTTTGAAGACAAGCATTACTTTTTTAATATTTACTGGCAAAAATATACTTTCTTTTTATTGTCTTGTCCTGAAATCTTATTTAAATTATACGTTTTAACCCTCAACAGACAAGTATTTTCTAGTATAACAAAATTCCAATAATTTATATACATCTTACACTAATAAAACAGCAGCAGTATCTAGAAGTAAGAATAATAACAACCAGTTTTGAAGAGTGCTATTCAGGCAGGAAGACAACATAATACCACAAGAACCTAAGGCTGGTTTAAAAAAGGAGAGGAGGCAATTAAGTTAATCTAGAGATCATTTGGCTGCTTTTAACTAAGTTATCTGAGGATAACATCCAGCTGCTTCTTAAAAATAATCTACTTCAGTAACCTGTCTGTGTACCTTGTTCCAGACTCCCACAACCCTTTGTGTAAAGAGGGGCCCTCCTGATCTAAGTTTTTGTCCTCCAGTTTATCTCAATTCAGAAGAAACCCACTGGGTTTGTCTTTCTGGAATACTTGAATCAGGTCCCCCTAGTAGCCTTCTCTGTTCAAGACTAAAAAGGGTCAGTTCCTTCAGTTTGTCAGCGATTCCATTAGGCCAATGTTTTAGCCTGCTCTTTTCTGAAATTATTCCAAAGCATCAATGCATTTTTTGTAACATGGTGAATATTTATTTGTAATGTGTTCAAACAATGTTTTTAACCATATAAGTGTCAGGAACAGTTCTTTCCGGGCCCTGTGCGGACGACACGATCCGAAAGGTGAAGAAACAATAGGGAAAAATAACATGCAGGAGTCGGTCAGGAGACAGGGGGGCGTGTCCGAGGTGAGCAGGTGTCCAGGGGAAGTGAGTCCGGGGCAAACAATCCAAGCATAAATCCAAAAGGGAAA